ATAATGCAATAAAAATTACATTCAATAAAGAGTAGTGAAAAGATAGACTAAAAATTAATTAGAAACTAAATAATATAATCCTAAAGAATAAGTGAGTCAAAGAACAAATAATAGAAGCTATCAAAATTTCATTATGAGAATAATAAGACAGCATCCAAAATTTATGGGATGCAGCCAAAGCAGTACTTAGGGGAAAAATTTATATCTCTAAACACTTACATCAATAAAATAGGATCTGTGAACTGGATGTACAACTAAAATGACTAGGAAAGAGCAAATTAAAAATTCCCAAACACCAAACACCAAAATGGAAATCCTGAAAATCAAAGGATTAATGAAATTGAAAGAAAGAAAATCATTAAACTAATAAAACTAAAAGCTAGTTTTATGGGGGGGGGAAACAAAATAAAGCTTTGGTTAATTTGATTTAGAAAAGGAAAGAAGAAAACCAAATTATCTGCATCAAAAATGAAAGGGGTGAATTTATCACCAATAAGGAAGAAATTAAAACAATTATTAGGAGCTATTTTGTCCAATTATGTACAAATAAATCTGATAATCTAAGCAAAATTGTTGACTATTTACAAAAATACTAATTACCCAGATTAACAGAAGAGGAAATAGAATACCTAAATAGCCCAACCTTACCAAAAAGAAATCAGCAAAGTGACAAGGAAGATTAAAACATATACTCAGAAGGAGACAACAAAGTCAAACCTCCTACATCCAAAGTCTCCAAGAAAAATATGAATTGGTCTCAGGATATGGAAGAGCTCAAAAAAGGATTTTGAAACTCAAGTAAGAGAAGTAGAGGAAAAATTGGGAAGAGAAATAAGAGTGATGCAAGAAAATCATGAAAAATGAGTCAACAGCTTGCTAATAGAGACCCCCCAAAATACTGAAGAAATATAACATCTTAAAAAATAGATGAGACCAAATGGCAAAAGAGGTCCAAAAAGCCAATGGGGAGAAGAATGCCTTAAAAAGCAGAACTGACCAAATGGAAAAGGAGGTCCAAAAGCTCACTGAGAAACCAAGAAATTACAAAACAAAACCAAAAGAATGAAAAAATAGAAGGTAATGTGAAATATCTCATTGAAAAAACAACTGACCTGGAAAATAGATACAGGAGAGATAATTTAAAAATTATTGGAGTATCTGAAAGCCATGATCAAAAAAAGAGCCTAGACATCATCTTTCAAGAAATTATCAAGGAAAGCTGCCCTAATATTCTAGAACCAGAGGGCAAAATAGAAATGAAAGAATCCACTTATCACCTCCTGAAAGAGATCAGAAAATGAAAAGTTCCCAGGAATATTATAGCAAAATTCCAGAGTTCCCAGGTCAAGGAGAAAATATTGCAAGCAGCCAGAAAGAAACAATTCAAGTATTGTGGAAACACAATCAGGATAACACAAGATTTAGCAGCTTCTACATTAAGGGATTGGAGGGTGAGGAATATGATATTCCAGAGGTCAAAGGAGCTAAGATTACAACCAAGAATCACCTAACCAGAAAAACTGAGTGTAATCAATGAAGGAGAAAAATTAATATTCAATGGTGTAGAGGAATTTAATGCATTCTTGAGAAAAAAAAACAGAGCTAAATAGAAAAATTGACTTTCAAATATAAGACTCAAGAAAAGCATGAAAAGGTAAACAGGAAAGAGAAATCATAAGGGGCTTATTAAGGTTGTACTGTTTACATTCCTACCTGGAAAGATGATATTTGTAACTCGTGAGACCTTTCTCATTATTAGGGTAGTTGAAGGGAATATATATAGACAGAGGGCACAGGGTGAGTTGAATATAATGGGATGATATCTAGAAAATAAAATTAAGGGGTAAGAGAGGAAGGTACTGGGAGAAGCAGAAAGAGAGAGCTAGAATGGGGTAAATTATCTCCCCTGAAGGAGGCAAGAAAAAGCTTTTATGATGGAGGGGAAGAGGGGGAGGTAGGAGGGAATGAGTGTACCTGTACCTTACTCTCATCAGATTTGGCTTAAGGAGGGAGTAACACACACATTCAGTTGGGTATGGAAACCTTTCTTGCCCTACAGGAAAGTGGGGGGAAGGGGATAAGTGAGGGAGGGCTGATAGAAGAGAGGGAAGGTTGGGGGAGGGAGTAATCAGAAGCAAACACTTTTAAGGAGGGACAGGATCAAAAAGGAGAGAATAGAATAAACAGGGGATGGGATAGGATGAAAGAAAACATAGCTAGTCTTTCACAACATGACTATTATAGAAGTGTTTTGCATGACTACGCATATATAACCTATATCGAATTGCTTGACTTCTCAATGAGGGTGGGTGGGGAGGGAGGAAGGGACAGAATTTTGAACTCAAAGTTTTAAAATGATTGCTAAAATTTTTACATGTAACTGGAAAATAAGATACACAGGAAATGGGGTGCAGAAATCTATCTTACTCTATAGAAAAATAGAAGGAGAAGGGGATAAGAGAAGGGGGTGAGATATGATAGAAATGAGGGCAGATTGGGGGAAGTGGTAATCAGGATACACACTGTCATGTTGTGGGGGGAAGGGAGAGATGGGGAGAAAATTTGGAACTCAAAATCTTGTGGAAGTGAATGTTGAAAATTAAAAATTTATTAATTAATTAAAAAACCCAAAAATGTTTGATAGAAATTTTAAAAAATAATGCATAATTTTAAAATAAAGTCCTAGCAAGGAGAGTATGATAATATAACACAAAAATCATACACTATCACCAGTTGGGATTTATATCAGGAAGGCAGGGCTGGTTCAATATTATAAAAACTATCAGCTAAATTGAGCATATCAATAACAAAACCAACAGAAATCATAAGATCATCCCAATATATGGTGGAAAAAACCCTTTGACAAAATTCAACACTTACTATTGTAAAAAAAAAAAACCAGTAATAAAATGACAAGTAATATCTATCTAAAACCATCAGCAAGCATTATCTGTAAAGGGAATAAACTAGAAGCCTTCCCAATAAAATCAGAGATGAAGCAAAGATGCCCATCATCACCTCTATTATTCAATATTGTACTAAAAATCCCAGCTATAGCATTAAGAGAAAAAAAAGAAATTGAAGGAATTAGAAGAGACAATGAAGAAACAAAATTATCACTCTTTGAAGGTGATATGATGGAAAAAAGAATCCTAGAGAATCAACTAAAAAACTAGTTGAAATAATTAATAACTTTAACAAAGTTACAGGATACAAAATAAACCCACATAAATCATAAGTGTTTCTATATATTACAAACAAAGTCCTGCAGTAAGAAATAGAAAGAGAAATTTCATTTAAAATAATGGTAAACAATATAAAATACTTGGAAGTCTACCTACCAAGATAAACCCAGGAACACAGTTGCAAAACACTTTTCACACAAATAAAGTCAAATTTAAACAACTGGAGAAAAAGTGATTGCTCATGGGTAGGCTGAGCCAATATAATAAAAATTATAATTATAACTAAATTAATTTACTTATTAAGTGACTTACCAAACTATCAAAAATTATTTTTATAGAGCTAGAAAAATAATAACAAAATTCATCTGGAAGAACAAAAGGCCAAGAATATCAAGGGAATAAAAAAAAAAAAGTGAAGATGGCCTAGCAGTACCAGATCTCAAACTACTAAAAAGTAGTAATCATCAAAACAATCTGGTCCTGGCTAAGAAATAGACTAGTGGATCAGTGGAATAGGTTAGGTACACAATACACAGTAGTAAATGAATGTAGTAATCTAGTATTTAATAAATTCCAAAATCCAAACTTTTGGGACAAGAATTCACCATTTGACAAAAATTGCTGTGAAAACTGGAAAGCAGTTTGGTAGAAACTAGGTATAGACCAACATCTCACACCTTATACCAAGGTCAAAATGGGTACATGATTTATTCATAAAGGGTGACATCATAAGCAAATTAGGAGAGCATGAAAAATTTTACCTGTCATATCTAGGACCAAACAAGAGATAGGGAGCATTACAGGATTTAAAATGGATAATTTTGATTACATTAAATAAAAAGATTTTGCACAAACAAAACCAATGCAGCCAAGATTAAAAGGAAAGCAGAAAACTGAGGGGGGAAATTTGTAGCAAATTTCTCTGATAAAGGGCTCATTTCTCAAACATATAGAGAACTGAGTCAAATTTATAATAATATTAGTCATTCCCAAACTGATAAATGGCTCAAGGATATGAATAGGCAGTTTTATGAAGAAATCAAAGCTATCTATAGTCATATGAAAAAATGTTTCAAGTCACTACTGATTACAGAAATGCAAATTAAAACAATTCTGAGGTACCACCTCACACTTATCAGATTGACTAAAATGACAGAAAAGGAAAATGACAAATTCTGGAGAGATGTGGAAAAATTTAGACACTAATGCACTGTTGGTGGAGTTGCAAACAGATTCAACCAGCTTGTAGAATAATTTTGAATTATACCCTTTAACCTAGCAATACCACAAGTAGGTCTGTATCCAAAAGAGATCAAAGGAAAAAGAAAAGGACTTATATGTACAACAATATTTATAGTAGCTCTTTTCATGGTGGCGAAGAATTGGAAATGGAGGGGATGTCCATCAACTGGGGAATGGCTGAACAAGTTGTGGTATATGATTGTGATGGAATACTATTGTGCTATAAAAAAATGATGAAGGGCATGGTTTCAGAAAAACCTGCAAAGACTTATATGAACTAATGCAAAGTGAAGTGAGCAAAACTGGGAGAAAATGTACAGAGTAACAGCAATATTGTATGATGATCAACTGTGAATGACTTAGCTATTCTCAGAAATACAGTGATCTAAGACAATTCCAAAGGACTTATGAAAAATGCTCTCCACCTCCAGAGAATGAACTGATGGGGAATGAATGCAGATCAAAGCATACTTTTTTAAACTTTATTTTTCTTGGGGTTTTTTTTTTGTTTTCTTTTGCAACATGGCTGATATGGACATATGTTTTGCGGGACTTCACATTCAAATTACTTGCCTTCTCAAGGAGGAGGGAGGGTACTTTTGTCTCTCGTCTTTGCTAGTGGCGCCATGGATCATCAGCAGCTCTACTGCAGCCACCCTCGAAAATTCGGCCAGGGGTCTCGTTTGTGCCGTGCCTGTTCAAACCGGCATGGCCTGATCAGCCGGTACGGCCTGAACATGTGCCTCCAGTGCTTCCGGCAGTACGCGAAGGACATCGGTTTCATCAAGTTGGACTAAGTTACATTTATGAATCTCGCTTCAGTGATTATGCCGACCATCAGTGACTACAAATTTACTGCACCCTGGACAACCTAAAGATGGATCGTTTTGTACATGCTATGCCAATATGTATATATAATTAAAAAAGGTCATCCTCGAACATTAAAATTTAGTGTGAACTTATTAACCCATCAACAAATTATGTGAAAATACAGTGCTTAATGCAGTAGAAATAAATGAAGCATAGAAAATGAATGTCCACTTCTAGTTCTATTTCAAGTTACTTATACCTTTGATTTTTCTCCCTGTCAGACCTGGAGAGTCTTCAGACGCCCTTTTAATTGATAGCTGAACAATTCCCTCTAACACATAAGTGGTTATCCAGCTTTTACTTGAAAGCATCTGGTTAAGAAGGTAATTCCAATCTCCCAGTATCAGTCATTTCCTTTGCTAGCTGTATTTCTGATTATCAAAAAGACAGGCAACTAAACAGTTAAAGATAACCCTAAGGTTGCTTGGTGGATGACTAGAATGAGAGTACTTTTTGTGACTGAGTGCATTGGAGCCAGGAAGACCTGAATTTTCAAGTTCTATTTTTTTCTTAAGTGTATTTATTTCTAAAATTAAAATAAGACACAGCAAAAAAAAAAAGGAGGAGGGAGGGTAAAAGGAGGGAGGGTGAGAATTTGGAACTCTAACTTTTTAAAATGGATGTTAAAATTTTTAAAAAATATATAATTGAGAAAAATAAGCAGAAAAAACACCATCATATCGGACAAGTTCAACATATGCAACATTCCATATCCATATGCCCTCGCCTCTACAATTAATGTTCTTCTTAATATGTAATGTCCTGAAACAAACAAAGTACTACAGGTTGATCAGCACAGAGTAGAGTAGAACCATCTTCTCTGACTTGAATAGCATTTTTCTGATTAATATTATTCATGGTTGCATTAAGTTTTTGGCAACCATAACATACATACTGTTTAATTATATTTAGTTTGCAGTCAACTCGAAACTATGTCTTTTTCATGTCTCTTTCCCATTACCCCTGTCCTATACCTTGTACTGTTAATAATTTTTTTTTTAGGCAGTTGGAGTTAAGTGACTTGCCCAGGGTCACACCCTGTACTGTTAATAATTGACTTTATATATATCCCTATTCATCTTGTTATTTGGGCCCTATGATTTCAATGTATTCAAATCTTTGGAATGCTCATGTGGCCACCCACATGTCCTAAGCAAAACCCAGCATGTTCTTATGCCCTTTCAGCTTTGTATCATTCATACATGGGATGTATGTCTTCATCTAAGTCATAGATTTAAAAGTATTGTGTTTGTGTGTGTGTGTGTGTATCTGGAAATTCTCCCCTACCAGAGGTAAAGTAAATATATAAATGAAATAATATATAACATAAAAATAAATATATAATAATAAGAGGTAAATAGATATATTTAGGTAATATCTAGCTTTCTTGTATTCTAAATTATTGTATCCTATTTATATATTCTATAACATTGTAATTGTATTCTAAGAGAACATATTCTCACACTAACTTCATTTTGTTCTGGTAGTTTCAATCCTAGCAACCATCCAATGGGGGCCAGCCCTACCACCCAAGTCTGGTTTGAGAACTATCATTTTCCCCATTAGCCTGCCATAGTGCTACCTGTCCAGAAATTTCAACCATTCGAATCATCCCCCCCACCCCTCTTCTGGATTATGTATACAATGTATAAATACAGTGTTTCCAAAGTGCCATTACTAAAATGTACATAGTCTCTCTGAGAAGAGAGGAAGAATTCGCTGCACCTTCTACTGCTACCAGGTTCAATTTTGAACATACTAACATAAATCAGTTTATCTGATTTGATGATTGTCCAATATCTCCCAGCCTTGATGAAAAGGGGCAATGGACAGGTACATGTCAGTGGGCTGGAAAAAGACTGAGAAGATGGAGATAATAAAACCATGAACTACTGACAGCAGATAGTTGGGCACCTAGGAGGGAGCTAAGACAAACATTATTTACTTGGCAATATTGCTTGAATTCCTTGCCCTTTTCACTTATGCACAAGTACTATTGTGAGCTATGCATGTGCTTATATATTTCCATTGCATATGGCAATTTTTCATATGTATTAATAATAATAACTAGCATTTATACAGTGCTTTCAGTTTTGCAAAGCACTTTACATATGTTAACTTGTTTCAGTTAACATGTATTACATTCTCCCATTAATACTCAAGTTAAGTACTTTATCTCCCAGATGGTACTGTAAACTTTCTTTGGAAAGGAGCTTTTTGTTTACTTTCAGGCTGTAACCTCTGTGTCAATTATGATGGTTGCATTTGTGATATGATCACTCAGAGCAGGGGCTAGGAAAAAGCCTCATTCACCATCAAAGCAAGGACTAAGGCACAGCCTCCTGAACCATCTCTCAAGCAGTGAATCTACCACCACGAGGTAACAGTATTTTTTCCTAAACACCCAGCTTTTGTAGTAGATTTTACTTAAAGAGGCTGTTTGGGAAGTGAAATCAGTATTGAATATGCATATTGTGCTCGTTCTAAGGTTGCCTGACTAGGATGTGGAACACAGGAATTGCTCCCTTTCTTTATGGCTTTCCTTTCCGTAGTGGGGGCAAGGAGACAGAGAAGATAATATCAAACTTTCAAGGTTCATGGATTGTACTGGTTTCTACCTTTAGAACACGTGCCATATTGTTTAATATGAAAGATTATTTACTGAGCCATATTTTCCCTCTGCCAAGGCTACCATAGTATGGTTCTAATTTAGGTTCTTACAGACCCCTGCCAGAGTTAATCTACCATCTTTCATATATATGAAAACAATATCTCTGATGCTCTGAGTAAGGCAAGTTTTGAACAGGTTGTATAAGCTCTTAAAGTCTCTTACATGTAAAAGAGCCTCTATGTAGTGACTTGTGGTAATTTCTTAAGTCAGCAGGATTATCTAGTGCTGGTCTTCATTTCCTCTTAGTTTCTTGACTCTTCAAGGTGAAACTTGACTCTTGGAATATCTGGAAAGAGAATGACAGCTACTGTTTAATAAAATTGCCTTTCTTCTCCTTCTCTCCCCACCACTGCCTTTTAACTTATAAGCTGGAGTTCAGCTACATATAGTAGCCCAGGGAGAAGTTGCCCAAGATAAAACAAGAAGCACAAAAATTCCATGGCCACCAGTCTGTGGGACTGGTGATATTGGCAGGGTCATTATCCATTCTTTCTACAGATGGTCTACTATTTCATATCTGACAAATGATGTCCAATTTTCCTCCAAAAACAAATACCTTCACTGATTTTGTTCTTCTTAATCATTCAAGATGATTCTGAATTTAGCCAGGTAATTCTAATATTATTTATTCCAAGGATAGCCTATAAATTAAGACATGGACATTCACTAAAGAACACCAGACGCTAATATGTGATTCAGATCAGTATGACAGAGAGACAAATGTCCTCTGTGACTCATTGTATCCAGCTCGGTCCCATTTCCATCCTGTATAGTTTTGATAGAACAATTTCCTTTTGGTTCTGTTTTTTTTTTTTAATTTAAGCTATTAAACTTTACCTGCACCTTGTATAATGGTTTTAGTAGGCCAGGCTGTTAATTAAATGGAGGTTTTGGTCTCTCTGCCAGTGGTGGCAATGCACATTTGGCTTTCGGTTTTCAAAGGTGACAGATTTATAGCCCCTTTATCTATTCTGCTAAATCAGCAATGAGAGGGGGAAAACATCCTCATGGCTCTCAAAGAGGTCCATGTACCCAAATGGGAATTTTGGCTGTGTGTGTTCAAGTAGTGTGTGACTTTAAGAAAGAGAATTCAATAAATGTGCATTCACTGTCTAATCAATCTCAATCTATTTGTGTAGGCTATAGAAATGAATGATGGAAATAGGAAGATGTAAAATATGCTTAAAGAAGTGGGGTCTGCATATATAAATATATTTCTTTGTTAGAAGAGAAATTCTATCAGATGGCACCATGGGGAAAATATTGCAGGTCTACTGATTAAGCACTGTGGGAGATTCCAGTTCAACCCCATCATTTTTGCAGATGAGAAAACTGAGACCCAGTGAATTTAAGTGACTTGCCCAAAGTCACAGTGGCAGAACTGAGACTATATATGCCCTTAAGGAGCTGACAATCAGTTTGGGGAAATTTTGCACAGCTCAAACAGTTGAGCACAAAATAATTACATAGGATGTTTTGTGTATTTTATATATATATATATATATATGTATGAATGATTTAGGCTACTGATAAAAGCCAGAACTTATTTCCAGCTCCCTCTGCCCTCTTGTTAACTGATAAATGTGGAAAACTAGGACCAAATGAAGTATAACATGGTTTTTCCCCTTTGCTGACCACTTTGGAGCCTGGTACAGACTGTAGAGTTGTCTCCTAATACAATAGGAAGAGCACTGTTTTTGTAAGCAGATGACTTGAGTTTATTGAGTTCCAGCTTCGATCCTTAACTGATTCTGTGACCTCTGACATGTCATTTAACTTTCCCTGGACTTCAGTTCCTCATCTGTAAAATAAAACAGTTGAACTAAGCTGCCTCTAAGCTTGCTTCCAGTTCTAAATTTATCTGAAGATCCTCTCCTTTAGGAACCTGGATGTGGAGTCAGAAGATTTAGATTCAAGGCAAATTTTCTTTTTCTCTGGGCCTCAGTTCCCTCTTGTGCAAAATGAGAAATTCAGATGGTTTATCAGATTACCCCTAAGGATCCTTTCAGCTCTATGATTCTATAAACAGTGTGGCCAGTCTTCAAGGCATTCTATGTGAAATACAAAGAACCAAATTGA